AATTATTTAGGTTATTATTACGGTTACTATTCCTGCTTTCATTACTACCGTTTTTGTTGCGGCTTTTTTAAATGTCACTTTGTATTATCTCAAATAAGAGATCACCTGTCTTGCCAAATTATCGAGTTCTTTTTCTTCATTCTTCAGATTTTTATGACGCTCAATTAATTCTTTATACTGCTCAATTGTTTCTTGTTTCTCAAAATTTGCTGAAGTGCTCAGCGACTCAGCCGTAATATTTTCAGTATTGATATTTTCATTCGGCTCGTCAATATCCATGCCATTTTCATAGTGTAACTCATTCGTTTCATCAATATCATCCAATTCATCGGGCAATATGAAATCATCCATGACCGCTTTATTCTCAATATCCAACCTGTCAATTCAAATTATTATCTTGCAATCAAACAACAGAGATTATTTTATCTCTCGTAAATGTCACGTTGTGTATTTCCTCGACAGATAAATGACTTATAACGGGAAATGCTATGGACATATGGCTGTTTTTAGGTATTATCTCGACAAACTAAGTAAAAAACATCATCATTGACATATGTTCATGAGATCCGAAATAATTTTGCAATGATAACTGCTGTCCCTAGCGCAATAGATCCCACAAATAATACATATTTGAATCGAACTGAAGTTTTTTTTTTTGAAATGAACTGAAGAGTGCAAATGTAGAATTTCAATTGAATATCGCACGTGCGATTTGCGAAGAAAGGTTGTGTGGCGAAGCTGTTCATGCTCAAATGAAAGTACATTGATAGCACTCAATTCATTTTTGAGAAATCTCAAGCGGATGGGTTTTAGATTCTCACCTAATCTTTATTGGAATTGTGGATTTGACCATATACACGCCTAATGACAACTTAAATGTGCTTCATTCGAAGCGTAAAACGATTTCCGATGCAGTCGAGTGAGTGTAATGTTAACAACAGTCAAATAATTTTGATCAGTCAGCCGTTACAAGTGTCTCGAACGGCAAAAACAAATCATTTGTGAATGCACTAGTGAAACGTATCATTTAGCTGAAGAAAAAAAAACTAATTGTAAGGAAAAACATCATTTTCTAAAAATCACATCAACTTGAAAACAAATGAATCGGAATCGTCGTTGCAAACAAGGTTGTTCTCATTCGAACGCAGGCAGAGTTGCTAAAATTGATGTGGACGAGCCAAATTTTGGCTATGCAATTTTCCGCTTGCATTCAATTTCCATCTGATTCCGGTTCCGTAGAGGGCGGAAACCAAATGTTCACGGAACATCTGTTAATCATTAATATGTAATGACTATGAAAGAATCTTTTCCCTCATGTCTTAAACACTTTGTTTGGTATTCATTTAAGGATTCCTGCATAACATCTGCGATACTGAAAGCATTTAAAACGACGACTGCATTTAGATGTGAATTGAATTCTGAATAATCCAATCGCATGTTCCTAATGAACGACGAAAATGTTCACTGAATAAATCAGCTTCACTCTTTTATTGTATGCGCACGTCAGTGTATCTCTCCAAAACATTCGAATATCTGCGATAAATTTGGATCTTCCTTTCAGGGAATGTCTCGAAGAGCAGCGGAGATACGAGCTCGTAAACGATACTATTAGTAATGTCTGAAAATTGTGCACCATTCTTCAACTGTTCGATTAAAACTTGACAAGTAGATCAACCTAAAACGGAAAAAAAGTTATGTGGTCCTCAATATCATCACAATTAGCTTTCCGCATATACCCTCAGATGAAGGTATTAAGATTTAGAGAACCTCAATGCATATACACCAAACACCAACAATGCCATTGCACTATGAAAACAAAGCTGATTAATGATATGAACTTCCTTCGCTTTTCATTCTTTTTTTGTTGAACTTAATGAAACCATTGAAATTCAATGAAAGCATTTGCTTCACTTTATTATTCACACGCAACTTGCATTCGTTTGGTGTTTCTGCTAATCAACGTTTGACGAATCTTTTCCGAACGAATCTCGCTAGTAAAATACCCTTACAATTCAAAATTCGGCTTCACACTTCCGTCTCAAATTCGTTTGTATTGAACAGATTGCTCTCAACATTAAGGACAAACACACAGTGATGTTCATTGTTTGCAAACTGAAAGCACTTGAACTTGCCGCATTTGTACGCGTTAGCTGTTCAATATGTTAACCAGTTACATTATGGAATCTTTATTAGTTGCTATCGGATTCGATGATGATTTCAATGCGATGATAAGAGAAACAGAGATAGGGCAATGATGTGAATGACAGAAAGGGCGGCGGGGGGAGAGATTTATACGGGATAAATGGGATAAACGATCGACAACATAACAACAATGAATGAAAGCAACGGAGG